TACCAGCCTGCTGGCGTGCGGTCGATCTGAGACGTAATCGACGGGGACTTTTTGCCACACGACCACTGCCATGCCCCACTACCGCAAGCCTCGGCCATATATGCGGAGGCTGTGCTTTTGATCTACCAGCCTGCTGGCGTGCGGTCGATCTGAGACGTAATCGNCCATGCCCCACTACCGCAAGCCTCGGCCATATATGCGGAGGCTGTGCTTTTGATCTACCAGCCTGCTGGCGTGCGGTCGATCTGAGACGTAATCGGGCGCGCAGCAGTGGTGAGTAGTGGTTTAAGCAGATCAGGTGCTAGTGGGACCTTGCCCCTGCATTTTGGGTTTGTTTCACTGCCGTAGACTTACTCACCACACTGCACCATGGCAATCTACGGCCACAAGCTGTTGATAAGATTGTGTGTTTTTTACTTTTTACTACTTTTTAGTGCAGAGACAGGATCCCCTCAGTTGTTGTTCAACAATAACTTTTTTTTTTTTCTTTTTTCTTTTTTTTCTTTTTTCTTTTTTTTCTTGTTTTCTTTTTTTCTTTTTCTAACCCGCTGCCGAATCTGACATACAAGCTGCCCTTTGCTGCCTTTTTCTTTTATGATTACTTTCTGGCACTTTTTGCAACTGAGATTTCCAGGGCAGCTTCTACTCCAGGCCGACCTGAGAGTTTCAGGTCTGCCCTTATCCTCCTGCTGAGGCTCTTCTCCATTGGTGGGGACCACCAGCACCAGCGTAGCCCTCTTCACCCCTTGTTCTTCCATGCCAGGTTATCCATCAGTCCTAGCAAGCTGCGTGCCGTTTTCATATCCACATATGAAATATCGGGGGTTCGATTCCCTCTCATTCCGTTCACTCAGAAGCCCCATATATCACTCAGACCATTAACCAAACTGTAACAGACCCTTATACGCCAGCGTAAAAGGACAAGGCCTCACTGGTGCTATGTTCATGCTAAGAGAGCATGAACCAGGTGATCAGCACGGCCAGGTTCCTGTTCTTCAAGCATGAATATAGCAGCAGTGGGGCCTGGATACGGGGGAAAGAAGTGCACAGGGAACCCTTATACCAGCTGTATCGGCTGATCATCAGCATGCAGACCAGCCTGAACACAGCAGACTCCCTACTTGCTTGCCCTACCGTCTTCACGCGGACAGAACACCCAGTTATTATAGCTGTATTTGGGGCAACTTTCAGTCTATTAGACAGCAACAATGACTGGGCGTTCGGTTGGTGTGAAGCCGGTAGTGCATTTTGGACCTACTCTTATTTACCAAAAAAAAAAAAAAAAAAAAAAAACCTATTCCAGGTCAACCAATGGTGTGTCTGAGAGGGGGGGTAAGGGGTCTGGGGAGCCTGAGGCTGGCCTAGGGGTCGCGAACCATCTCTCTCCATCGAATTCTGAAAATGAATGGTTGGGTTTTCTGAGTTTTCTCCCCTCCATTATGGGGGGACTAAAGGCGAATACTGGGCATTGGTGGTTGACCAGGGCCCCAAGCGAAAACTGGAAACTGATGCATAGGTTGAGAGTTTGGACCCCCTCTCTGCTCCACAGTATTAGGAGGTACCCTTCTTTGCTTCAAGGGGAAGAGGTCTACTCACTCTAACGCCTCGACAGAAACCGAAACAACTGAGGAATGTATGGCGAGATAATTTAACGAAGCTTTTGAGTTCAAATAATGTTTATATTTTGAATTATTATTATTATTATTTTTTTTTTTTTGGAGAAACATAGCACTTGTCATTCGAAATGAGACCACTGGGGCCCGGGAACACACCCCTACATGTCAACCCAGTACAAACGTGCTGAGGCCAATACTCAGCATTAGGCTTCTGGAAACCGGGTCCAGTGTCCCTTAAAGGAATCTCCAAAAAAACAAAAATTGCAGAGTAAAACTATTGCAAATTTGCAATATAATATCCTTGCTGCGCAGGAAGACACCAGCATGTTTCTAAAATCGAAACACTATTGGCAAAGAACAACGAGCTATAAGCTGCAAATCTCGAAAATGCACAAAACAATTCACGAGAATTTTCAATTTAACCCTAAAATTATTTCCAAAAGCATGCTAAATTCTTAGATACAAATCCAATCTAAAAATTCAATCCAAATACATACTAAATTAAATAAATTTAGTATTTACTCTAAACAGAAATTGGGGCTGGGCGTACTAATATTCAATATTGTCTATAAAAAGACAAAACATAATGAGACTATCGGCGCGACTGACCGGGAATAATTCTACTAACACCGGAAGACTTCCTGCCCTAGTTATCAGTAGAACCTTTTTTCGTTCTTCCTGGATTTGGTATAGCATCTGCGGACCAACTACTGAGCATTATCAAGCAGGTCCTGCGCAAAATAACCGCTAAAAGTCTCTGCAAATTGCCCACATAAGTGATTCGCTCGGCTTACCCAGGAGGACTGATCAATGCTATTTTCTTAGCAAGGAGCTCGCTTCCTTTTTTTCGTGTGCGTGGTTTTAAGTTGTTAGCTCATCAGGCATTTCAGTTGGGTGGTTGACATGGTTGTCGGATTCTCTCATTGCAAAGAATATTGCCTGTGATTTGCAGAGACTACCGTAGTGCACATGTTGTCTGTGATTCTCAATTTTTTGTGTTTTTCTTGCCAATGGTCTTCTTCCCCCCCNCTCTCTCTCTCTCTCTCTCTCCTCTCTCTCTCTCTCTCTCTCTCTCTCTCTCTCTCTCTCTCTCTCTCTCTCCCTCTGTGTGTGTGTGTGTGCCTGTGTGTTGCCAGGTCCGCATATTGCAGGAAATAAGAAGCGGGATGGGACCATCCTCCTCATTGCAGAATTCCCGGCCTCCTATGTTGGAACCTTCTCGCCATGGGTTAACGGGCTCGGCATCCATCCTCTCTTCATCCAATGAGACACCCATTCCGACACCATTCGAAATATCCCGCTCAAGTCTTGTAGATTGTGGAGATGATCAGGCATGCCATCGTCAGTCTAGCAGTGAAGATGAAGGCGTGAGCAGTGGCAGTTATCTCAACTGCTCTGCTGGTGTGCGAATCGATCGCCGCTTGAATAATGTCAATGCCTTCCCTATTGTCCATGGGGAAATGTGGTCCCCACCTCTCGGTCAAATGCGCTCCATGGTAAACAGTCTCACACCCCCACACTCTTATCAGTATTCATTGTCTGCTCGCATTGACGACTCGGTGCCATCGTTATCGTCGTCAGCGCCACCGCCTCCGGAAATTCTTTTGCACCGATTGTTGCTCCATGTTGGTCGCACTTTGCCGCAAGATGTTCGATCGGCCGGCGTCCTGTCGAGTCTTCCACACACCATGGCCAGCAACCCCTTCAATCTGCAGCGACGCAGCAAGACCTCAACGCCAGTTGTTTCTTGCTCTGTCAGCGCTCCTAGGCGAGTAGCGCGGACAGGATTACCCCCTCCACTCCACAGGGGTCAGGGAAATGGAAGCATGACTGTGTCGACGTCAGAGGCGTCTTCTGTGTTGGATGCATTTTTCATAGACCTGACGGTCAAGCTAACGAGGCTTCGGTACCGGCTTGGAGTGACGCGGCCGTTGCTGCTTTCTCTTGGCCACACTTCGGCGGTGTTCGCACTATTCGCCTTATTTATGAAGGACATCTTATACTTGAGAACGTTCCTCGTTTGCGGGAGCTTGTTAGGTATATGCTTCAATCTTTTAAGACCACAGCCACTCTACTTGCCTGCCGGGTGGGGGTTGGTCTTCATCATCGCCAATATTATACAGGTACGTCTGCGTCTGCGTGTGTGTGTGTGTGTGTGTGTGTGTGTGTGTGTGTGGTGTGCGTGGGTGGGTGGGTAGGGGGGGTCGTCATGTGTTTGGTGAAAAAATTGCAACTCTAAAAATAAAAGAAAAGAAAAGAAAAGCCGTGACTGTCACAGACAGTTCCATTGTACTTTCACCGACTCAACAGGAGCTTGAACCTGGACATCTTGTCCGTCCAGGATGATTTATTTTCAACACTGCCTCACCCAAAACAATAGATCGCTACGGGAGAAAGATTCCATGTCTGTTTTTCAAACATACCAGGGAAGACGTTAATGTTCTCGTTTTGGACCGCTTGAACAATTAGAAAAATGTCAAGTTTCAAGGGCAGCCGTCGATGCAAAAATGCTAGGAAGATTCTCACGCCTGGCCGGGCACCCGGGCAGGGCACCGCAGGGGGGGGTCTGAGGCATGCAAAAAAAATATAATAATAATAATAATAATAATAATAATAATAATAATAATTCTGTGCTCTCGCGGAGGATCCCAAATCTGGGCTCATTTCTTTTTTTGCCAGTTGGCTGTCAAGGGGGGGGGGAGGGGGGTATAAATTGGTTTTAAAGGGGCTAAACTTCCCGCTAAAGGGGTCTAAAGGGGGGTGTCTTTGTGTGATTCTGTTATTTTCGTTCTTATCTCCGATTCTGTGAGGAATTATAATGTGACCCTCAGCCAAAAGTCGTTTGTATTTCAATTCTACACAACATATTTTTTTTCCCAGAATTATTTATTTATTTGTTTATTTATTTTAATTTTGCACTGGGACTGCCCGGAACCCTGCCTGGGGGTCATGCCCGGCCGGGCACCCGGGCGTGTACCCAGGCGGAAGTTGGGTGCCCAGGCGCCCCGGAAAAACAGCCTAGCAAAACTGTAATTAAAAAGTTTATAATTAAAAAATTATAAAAAATTATTAAAATATTAAAAATCACTTTCATCCCAATATGGAACACCCAGTGATTATCGCTATATCTAGATTCTAGACTAAAGTTCTATACCTGGGATTCTATCCGCCGGATGACGGTGGTCCTTTTCCTTACGTTCCTTGCTCCACACACAACCGACTGTAGAAGTCACCCTCCAATCCAATTTACTGCCGGTAGAGGCAGGGCCTTAATTCAGAGGAAGAGTTTGTATCTAGGCCGTCGGTTGTTCCGACGAGATCGTGGGAAGTTCTTCCGGCCCACCCAAAATTTCAAATGCGGGCTGGAACGTGCCTTGGACTGCAAGGTTTTGCGAGCAACGCCCTCCCCCCTCCCTCGTCCCCCTCCTCCCCCTCCTCCCCACAAGCGAACAAGAAGTGGTCTTTTCCCTGAGACATCGAAACATGGCTGTGAGGTGAGCAAATTGAGGTTAGTGGAGGGGGGGGGGGGGGGGGGGGGCGGGCGCGGAGGAGAAGGGGTGAGGATCAGCCTAAACCCCCAAAAGGACCCTCGAGCAGCATTCATTGTTCCTTACCGGGAGGCTGACTGAACCTTTGCAGTACAGTCTGGAAAGACGCACCAAGACTGCAACTGCAGAGCCCCCTCAGATTTGGGTGTTTTGGGGTCCGAAAGCGGGTGTGGTGTGAGAGCATGCGTCTGTCTTACTCCGAATAGAACATATGGTCATTCTAGCTGTATTTGGAGACTGAACTCTTTGAAGCACATTCTGCGTCTATGCACTAGCACTGTGGCGGCAGAGCCCCTCAGGTTTGTTTTTCTTTGGGGGGTAAAAAAAGGGGGGGTGTAGTAAGGTCATGCTACCGTCTTCCCTCAGATAGAACATATATGGTCATTCTAGCTGCATTTGGGGCAAATTTCAGTCTAGATGCAGTGATAATGACCATACGTTCTATTCGGCGGAAGACGGTACCCGTAGAGCAGGCACCTTACCGGTAGCTAGCTTGCTCTGGTGGTCATCGTAACAAGTTAAAACACTGTGGTTGCAACATTGTCATCGCTTCCAAAAAAAAAAAAAAAAAAAAAAAAAGTGGTTGCAACATTTTTATCGTTTCCAAAAAAAAACACTGTGGTTGCAACATTGTCATCACTTCCAAAAAAAAAAAAAAAAAAAAAAAAGTTATCACTATCAGAATGTCACCACTATTGTGGTAGGCACACTCTACTGGTGGCCTCCTCTTTTTTTCCCTTTTTCTTTTTTCCTTTTATTATTATAACAGGACCTTTCGGTCCCGGCTTCTTGTCCATTCTGGAAAGTGTCAGTCCTGTTCCTTTCCCCCAGCAAGTCGGTGGGCTGCCCTTTTTTTTTTTTTAAAGAACCTTGAGGTTCTGGCTCCATAATAGTCCATATCCATTCTGGGGAGCTTCAGTCCGGTTCTTTTTCCACCGCCAACTCGGCGGCGAATCAAATACTTGCAACGAAAAGGCACACACTTGTATGATGCTTCCTCCCATTCTTCCGTGGCCGTGGCCCACTCTTACCGTCTTTTGCTGTCCTTTTTCGCTGCCGGAGCACTGAAGGGACGAAGGTCACAACTGGCCATTACACTTGACCGACATGGGTATCTGTGTTTTTTTTTTTTTTTTTTTTTTTTTTTTTTTTTTTTTTTTTTTGTACCCAACTTCTATACTTTACACGTAATGCCTCGGATCATGTGTTTGTACTGTCCTTCTGGAACTGTTTGCGCCCCCCTTGGTGGTTTTCGGAAACCCTTTGACACCGATCATGACCGATGTCACACCATAGAGTCATAGACTAATACGCTCACGCTCGGATTTTATCATTTTATCAACTGAACTTTTGGTGTAAATGTGCGTGGCCAGTTTATGGGTACAGAAAAAAAAAAACAGATAGATGGGTGTAATATAGTCAGCCACATCCACATCGACTGGGTGAATGCTGACGGAGTTGATTGTGTGAATTTGTGTCCTTTGGTTGTTTTTACTGTGTTTGGCTGTGACCATCCCATTTGGTGTTTTGTTGTACAGATTTGCATTCTCCTGCATGAGAGACGAGAGGTATATATCCTCCTCCTCCTGCTGCTGCTGCTGCTGCTGCTGCTGCTGCTCTCTCTCTCTCTCTCTCTCTCTCTCTCTCTCTCTCTCTCTCTCTCTCTCTCTCTCTCTCTCTCTTATTTGAGGAAGAAAAATGAAAGAGAAAGTCTGAGAAACCGCACAAAAAAAAGGCCTAAGTAAGGGAAGAAAAGAAGGAACTGTACCCACTGGGCCTTATAGCTCAGTTGGTACACCCCTGAACTGAACTCTTGAAAAGCGGACCCAAGTTCAAAATCCGCTGGAAGCCTGGAAGTGGATAAGTAGAATAATAGAAATCTGAGTGAACCAGGGCTGACCAGTTGAGTGATGATATCTCGAGGCCGTCACCCTTTGTTGAAAAAAAAAAATAAAAGAAGGAACTGCACAGCAAAAGGCAAAAGAACGGGTTCACGGTGCTTTGGGTTGTCTGCTTTTTTCTTTGTTTGTTTCGCTAGGGGTGCTCTCGTTTATTTGATATGTATGTGGACAATATATAATCTTATATATATAAACTCCGACGAAACAGTTTGTCACAGCCCCTCGTTTGTTGTCCTCTTCTCTCTCTCTGCCTACGGTTTACCGGGCAGTTCTGTTTGTGACGATATATATATATATATATATATATATATAGCCTCTCGTTTGTTGTCCTCTTCTCCCTCTCTGCCTACGGTTTACCGGGCAGCTCTGTTTTACTATATATAGTAAAACAGAGGATCTGTCCGGTAAACCGAAGGCAGAGAGGGAGAAGAGGACAACAAACGAGGGGCTGTGACAAACTGTTTCACCGACTCACTAGAAGGCTGAGCCCTATATATATATATATATATATATATCAGCCTCCTGATGAGTCGGTGAAACTCCGACGAAACAGTTTGTCACAGCCCCTCGTTTGTTGTCCTCTTCTCTCTCTCTGCCTACGGTTTACCGGGCAGTTCTATTTGTGACGATATATATATATCTGTTTGTGACGATATATATATATATATATATTTGACGATCTATATATATATATAGTCGGTGAAACTCCGACGAAACAGTTTGTCACAGCCCCTCGTTTGTTGTCCTCTTCTCCCTCTCTGCCTACGGTTTACCGGGCAGTTCTATTTGACGATATATATAGGAGGTGTTGCTGCAATAGGTCTTGTCTTTGTTTCACTATTTGGGCATCTGCAGGTTGAAATTAAAAGTGCGGGGTGTCAAGTGTCTGAAATGGTGTTCCAGAGGCATGGAGTGACAAAGTTTTTCTTTGTTTGTTTCACAAACAAACGACGCAAAGTGCTTTCTTTTAGTTTATAAGTTATAACTTTATATGTAGGTCACAATATAATAATATAATATAATTATTATAATATTAATATTTATATGTATATATTTCTCTGCCTACCGTTTACCGGGCAGCTCTGTTTGACGATAATATATAAACCGTCGGCAGGGAGGGAGAAAAGGACAACACACGAGTGGCTGTGGGTTCAGCCTCCTGATGAGTCGGTGAAACTCCGACGAAACAGTTTGTCACAGCCCCTCGTTTGTTGTTCTCCTCTCCCTCTCTGCCTACGGTTTACCGGGCAGCTCTGTTTTACTATGTATATACATATATATTATGTTTTACTATATATCGTCACAAATAGAACTGCCCGGTAAACCGTAGGCAGAGAGAGAGAAGAGGACAACAAACGAGGGGCTGTGACAAACTGTTTCGTCGGAGTTTCACCGACTCATCAGGAGGCTGAACCCACAGCCACTCGTGTATACATATACCTGATGAGTCGGTGAAACTCCGACGAAACAGTTTGTCACAGCCCCTCGTTTGTTGTCCTCTTCTCCCTCTCTGCCTACGGTTTACCGTCGGCAGTTCTATTTGACGATATATATATATATGTATATCTGTTTGACGGTATATATGTCTTACCAGGCAGATCTGTTTGACTATATCTATGTCTTTGTCAATCTGCAGGTTGAATTCAAAAGTGAGGAGTCGGAGGTGTATGACATGTTGTTTCAGAGGCATGGAGTGACAAACCATCAGTTTGAAAAGTTGCTGAGGCAAGCTCAGGCTGAGTGGGTCGACTTATCTGCTGGAGATGTGGTGAGTGCCCCACTCTCAGGCTTTTCTTAACTTTTGATGCAACCAATCACAACAATTGACAATTGTTGTACCTCTGATGATAGGACACTTTTTTTCTCTTTTTTTTCTTTGTTTTTTAATTAATTTGGACCATTTCTCGATTTATGGGTGTCATCCTTGCACAGGGGCCATCATGGCTAATCTTCATTCTCTGTATCGTTCCGAGTTCCAATCCTTTTAACGGATGTTCCGAAGGTCAGATGATAGGACTCTTCATCTGGTCTTTGGGACTATTTTTTCAAAACCGGAAGCATACACCGAAGATCTATGGGACATTTTTCAAAATGGGAACCATACGCAGAAGGTCTATGGGACATTTTTCAGAACGGGAACCATACACAGGTGGTCTATGGGGCATTTTTCAAAACTGGGACCATGCACAGGAGAAACTCAATTTGCGACTTAATTTTGGACTCTTTTTTTTTTCGCTTTCAAAACTGGAACCATACAGAGAAGATCTTTGGGACATTTTTCAGAACTGGAACCATTCACAGAAGATCGATTAGCATGTCCCCTGTGCTCAAGGGTGGCGTGCAAATTGCGAAATCGTCCAAAATTATACCAATTTTGAAATTTCTTTTCTCTCTGTCCCTTTTTTCCTTCTTGCAAGGTAGCTCAGCAGGAGACTCTGAAATTGCAACTTATTTTGGAACTGGGCCTCTGGCAGAAAAAAAATAAAAATAAAAAAATGACAAAGCAATGATCACACACCAGTCCAACATTTTTTGTCTTTCGTTCAAAGGTCAAACGTTTAAACTTTAGAGACTTTTTTTTTTTTTTTTTTTTTTTTTTTCCCCCAAACGTTTAGAGACTCTTTAGACCATTTCTGCATTTTTGTGTGTCCTCTGTGTGGTGTGCAGGGGCCATGCTTTTTTTTTTTTTTTTTTTTTTTTTTTTTTTTTTTTTTTTTTTTTTTTTTTTTTTTTTTTTTTTTTTTGGTCCTTTTTTTTTTTTTTTTTTTTTTTTTTCTCTGTATTGAATCTATCGATCTGATTGTAATGGATGTCTCAAAAGGACAAGAATTGAATTAGTCCCTTGATGATGAAAAGAAGCCTTTTCTCGCGTCGCAACACTCCTTTCTCGCCTCCTGACAATCAATACAATGAATACACCAACAAATACTAGCTCGCTGCTCTCATTAGCATCACTACCAGCCTATGTGATAATCTACTATTTTTAGTATTTTACCTACAATAGGCTACACTAAGCCAATAGGTATCTGATCTCATCTGCATCACTGCCAGCCTATGTAATAGCCTACTCTAATCTACTAGAGGCTACACTAAGCAAATATATAATGCCGCATAGTGGTACAAATTCTACTCCCAGTCTCCGACCGACGCTGGGACAAAGAATGAATCATGCTGGAACTCTTCTTGGGACCACCACATATGTCCCTCTCCAACTCCCACTCTCCCAACTTTATGATGATTTTTTAATCCATTGCCTGTCCTGGTTGACATGGCCTGAACCTTTTTCTCATGTGCTTCGTTTACGATGGTACTCATAAAGAAACGGTACTACGGTAGTGATGTGTGTGTTTTTTGCTATGGGATTGCAATAGAAATCCAACTGAAGCTTTGTTTCATGTCATAGTCCTCTCTTGTTATCTCCCGGCAGCATGGTTATGAACAGGTCTAGGGATTGTACTGGTGCATATGATAAAAAATATTGAATCATTATAGAGCAAATTTTATAGTAGTGAAAATGATCATCAAATTTCAAATTTGTAGATAGACTAATCTACTGCATCTGGATGCAGATTTTGGCTGAAGGAGAGCGGATTGACAAGATTTGTCTCATTCTCAGGTCAGCTCACTTCACCGCTCTTCTGCTTCTTCTCGGCTTCCCTACCGATTTGTTACTTCAATCCTGTTGCGTCAAACAATCCCCCCTCCTCTCTCTCTCTCTCTCTCTCTCTCTCTCTCTCTCTCTCTCTCTCTCTCTCTCTCTCTCTCGTGTGTGCGCGCGTGCTCGCTTGCATGTATACACATATCATGGCCGCCTTTTTTTTTTTTTTTTTTTTTTTTTGCATGCGCGCGCGCATCAACGATCAGCGCACCGCACATATGTGCCGCAAGCATGGTTTCTTTTGTTCCCCGATGCTTTCTTGTCTTATGCTGTTTACAACCATTTTTGTAGAAATCGTTAGCGTTATCCTCCAACTTACTCAGCTGTTTGCAATGCGGGATTTTGGGTCTTTGCTGTACAGTGGAGGAGCAGAGGTGTTGGTCAATGGTGACACTGTTGGTGATATGGTGAGGGGTTTCCTCATCGGCGAGTCAGCGCTGCTAAACAAGGACCACATGGCAACTGCGACTGTCGTGGCAAAAGGAAGCATGAGGATTCTCCGTTTGAACACGAACAGGTTGGTCGCTCTTGGGGCAAGAAAGAAGAAAGGAAGAGGGAGGGTGGGGAGTGGGGGTGGGTGCACTGTGGACAAGAAACGAAGGAAAGTAAGGGGGGCGAGGAACGGGTGGAAAGTGAAAGTGCAAGGTCAAGAGTTGTCGAAAAACAGATTGCTAACTAAATTAGCTGGATGAATGATTTGGAAATTGGAATAGATTTGTCTGTGTGAGAGCAGTGCGACCAAAATCGTAGGGGAGTTCGAACTTCAAAAGATCTTAAGTAGTCGGCGTTTGTGTCGGCGTTGTCAGGTTTGCTGTACGCGACTCAACAAAAGGAGCATGGCTGTGCCAGATGGTCTCGTTGGTCGTCGGACTTTCAGCGACTCAATCAGGAGGTTGAGCCCCAACAGTCTGCCCGGAGTGCATTTGACTGCCGGACAAGGGCTCGTTCTCGTTACGTCATCGAGAGTTATAGTGGTACCCCTGAGAAAGTGGTGGTCAACTGTACTCACAACAACCCTGGAATTCTAGTGGGTTGTCAGTCCAACCCCCCTGACAAGAACGGCAGTATGTTTGTGTGCGACTGTTTGGGATGTTATGAACCGCTGTGCTTATAGTGCAGCAGGGGGTTGGACTCAAGTTGGTGCCCGCTCTTCATCCGATTGTGCTATTTTGTGTGCGACTGTTTGGGTTGCAACGAGTTGGGCGGTAGACAAGCGCATGGAAAACATAAGCATAAGACATAAAGGGCATTATTAAATTACGCAAGGCCCAAAATAGCATCGGAAGATTCATAATTTAAACGCCCAGAAAACAGAACTTCAGTGAGCAGAAAAAGACAAGGATTGCAGCGGACGCCGGACTGTCTCATCAGACTTTCGCTGACCGACCGGGAGGCTGAACCCCCAACCCAACAGTGTGCAGAATCCCTCATGATGTGTTGAGCCATAATCTACTTCAACAGTTCGACTCCTGAAGCGAGTGAACACGGAGGCGGCCAAACAGCAAGGCAAGCAGCAACAAGACACAGGCATAGGTGGGGGAAATTGACTGTGGCGAGCAGCGAGAGCGAGGCTGCATGGTAAGCAGCAGCAGCGAGGCAGGCAGGCAGGCAGGCAGGCAGGCAGGCAGGCAGGCAGGCAGGCAGCAACAGCACGGGGCGCGCAGGCATTTGAACGGTGAGGCAAACAGCAAGGCAACAAGACAAGAAGCAGCATTGCAGGTAGGCATGAGGGTAGGCAGCGCAGTGAGCAGCACGGCAACAAGGCAGGGAGCAAGGCACGGTGGCGTGCAATCGGACAATAAGGGCAGGAGGGCGCGTGGGAGGCAAGTGGACAGCCAAACAACAAGGAAAGCAACAGGATAAATGGGAAACAGAAGCAAGGCAGATGGGTGCGAGGGCGGGGAAGACGGTGAGTAGCAGGGTGAGCTGCATCACGGGCATAGAAAACAATCGGATGTATATAGCAAGGACCCAAGCGAACTGTCGCCTACCCACATTATGTGGAAAACTCCGGAAGTCGAAGGTTCACACCACCGTAAAGATCCAGGGAGCAATAAGACAAATATCTATCATGACTCATAACTGGTAGGGCGCACAGAGACATCGGCATCCTGACAACAGGAGCCCACCGGATAGTGTTGCAGGCACTCCACAGAAAGTGGCACCGACTATTTGGCACGCCGTGAAGGTACTGGGTACTGGGTACTGGACTTGGGCACTGCGAAGGATGAAAACCAAATTGCACACAAAGTGGAAAACTACTTAGAAAAAGCGGAAGATCAGAAGCTGTAGATATTAAAGTTTTTTTTTTTTTTCTTGTGTGTGTGTGTGTGTGTGTGTGTGTGTGTGTGTGTGTGTGTGTGTTCCCATGTCATTTGAACGCAGGTTGTGGGCGCTGCTGTCGGCAGATGAGCATCTTAGTCATTCCTTTGCCAAAGCTGTCAGCTCTGACCTGGCAGCAAAACTACTGCACAACTACAAGGAGATGAGAACCCACAACTACAGTTTTGAGACGTACAAGGTAAATCGCCCCCTTACAATTCTGTTTCCATAATGCAATCCATCCAATGTTTCCCCTGACCATATCTCCAGTCATGATTCCTCCGCCTCCTCCTCCTCCTCCTCCTCCTCCTCCTCCTCCTCTTCGCAGTTCTCCTTCTTCTCCTCTTGTTCTTTTTTCCTCCTTCTCCTCCTCTCGGTGGTTCTTTCCTCTTCACCTTCTTCTGCTTGCTTTTCCTCCTGTTGTGGTGGGGCCGGCATCGGCAACAACGACAGTGGTTGTCGTTGTCGTTGGTGGTGGTGGTGGTGGTGGTGGTGGTGGTGGTGGCGCTGCTGCTGCTGCTGCTGCTGCTGCTGCTGCTGCTGTGTTGTTGTTGCTGTTATTTTGTAGGATGATGAACCACCTGTACCCCACCCAGGCAATTTTTCAAGACTTCCTGAATTCGAGGAAGGCCCAGCAGAGGTTTTGTATGGGTTCCGGTGCGGGTTGGTCTGGCTTTGGGCGGGACAAGACGAGAAAGAAACAAGATGAACAACAACAAACAAACACAATAGGAAACGATTTGAAACAAGACAAAACAAAACAAAAAAAAATGAACAATTCAACAAGTGTGAAAAAAGAAAGACCTGAGCGCGCTGGCACAAAAAGCACCTCCTTTTCTGCTGGTGTCTTCTCAGAATGACAACGCAACAACAATACACAAAACGAGAAAGAAGTGGGTGTGTCTTGCCACAGAAGGTGGCAAGATACATTCCTGACTGTATCTGGCCGCCTAGAAAATCGTGGTGGTTGCGGCGCTTCTTTTTTTCAAAAAAAAGAAAAAAAAAGAAAACAGTTCAAAACACTTAAAAAAACAGAAAACTGCTAGTGTGAGTATGCTCTCACGCACGAGACCTATAAGAGCATCAGTGCCAAAAGCACCTCATTTTGCACCGGTGCAATCTCCGAATGATGATGCAACGACAATGCACAAAACGGAAAGCAAAGTGGGCGAGGTACATTTGTCACTATATGAAATCATGGTCGTTTCAACACTTACTTTTCTCCGAAGAATATAAATGTTATTGTATAAATTTATATTATAAAATACAGCACATAATTGCTAGTGTGAGTATTCTCTCACACGCTACAGAGTTCCCCCGAATACAGCGCATGGTCATTATAGCTGAATTTGGGGTATCTGTCGGTCTAAAACAGCTATAATGACCGTACGTTGTATTCGGGGGGCGAAGTACTATGGGCCTCGCTCTGCCACTCACCAAATGTGCAAGATAGAGCAAGGCCGTGTATCTGGGAGGAAAAATGCATCTGTCCCAGGTCGCAATAGCACCCAGATGCATGCCTGCTTAAAATGACCTTCGAGGAAGGCAAAAACAGTCGGGTGTGTGGGGGCGAAGACTTACCTGGAATTGCAATGATGTCCTTGTCGTCAGAAGCAACCAAGGGGGAAAAAGAAGAAGAAGAAGAAGAAGGAGGAGGAGGAGGAGGAGGAATAAAAGGAAAAGAACCAAAAAGGATCAAACTACTGGTCGCCCACCACCATGTCTTTGAGGGCTACCGGTCGCCCACCATGATGTCATTGAGGGCCAGCTCCATTACACCAAACAGAACAGCCTTGGCAGCTGGCGAAAAATCAGGTCGGGAAGCTTGCTCGCTCCCAAGGTACTGGTGGTATAAACAGAGATGAGTAGAGGGGTAGGAGGAGGAGGAGGAGGAGGAGGGGGAAGAAGGAGATTATGAGAGATATGAAAGTGAGGTCTGCACTCTGTTTGCAGCACATGCTCTCCATCCATTGATTCGCAAAACACCCCTTTTTGTTGCAAGTGAACCTCCTCCACCTGCAACCCTTCTGGTTTCAGGGAATAAAATCTGTGTGTGAGTTTAAGACACATGGGATGAGGTGTACGAAGTGGTCCGAGAGACATTGGCTACCCCATTGGAACAACACAAGGAAACTGTATAAAAAGGGTACTGGGGGCCTAACTCAGTTAACTGTATAAAAAGGGTACTCAGGGCCTAACTTGCTTGGTGGCATGAGTGGTTGTCGTGCATGCTGACATGATGCTGTGTTATCGCAATCTATTCAGCCACCCACAACAGTTTGCGAGGAGGCGACCCAGCCCATGTGGCTGGCGGGCAGACACATGTAACCGACTGTTCAAATCCTGGTGGAACGAGATGAGCACGAGGAAGTTAGGGACGAGGCCCTTAAACCACCACTACCTTCGAGGCCCTTTTTGCCGTTGCTGCAAACTGCCATGCGCGAAGCTCTGCCGAGCCTGAGCGCAACCAGTACCAGCAGTGGGAAATAGAAGTGGGGCACCAGTACCGGTCTGCTGCTGGATTTCACATCGCATCGTCCTCGGGATTTGGCTGGAGGACATTCATTCGTTCCACAGGGTCCGTACGGCGTCGGCGCCGTTGGTTGTGTTATATTTTTTTTTACTTTTTTTTTTGTGTATCTGAACCTTATGATTTGTAAGGCATGCGGCGACCCGCCACCCTTCCCCAGGCAAACCGTTTCGAACAGGTGGGAGGAACGGTATGGAGGCTGCGGGCAAATCGTTTCCAACAGGCGGGCAAAACGGCATGGAGGCCACGTGCCACGTTGTCACTGACGTTTTGAAATTAGGACTGGACTTTCCATCTTCCTACCTCTGTGCATGTGGAGGGAGGCTTGCGGCCTGGACGGGATGGACTACGACAAAACGTCCACTGCATGGGCTTATTCCACCCGCATGGGAACAAAAAGGAAAAGGGGTCCCCGCAGTCTGATCCTGCCCCGAACCCCCACAGACTTTATTGAATGTTATGTTTCGGTTCTCGACGTTTGTCGGGGAAAGCTACCTTCTTCCCCCGAATACCACGAACGGTCATTATAGCTGTGTATTTGAGGCATCTTTCAGTCTAMATACAGCTATAATGACCGTACGTTGTATTCGGGGGAAGAAGGTAGTGGTATGGTTTAAAGTTTAAACACAATCGAAAACGATGCGAGTAGGCAAAGAACAGGAGAAGATCTGATCGTGCATGTGCTGCACTGGGAGGTGTTTGGTCTGCAACCAGTGTGACAGGTGGACTGATAGGCCAGTGAAAAACAATTCTGGTTCCCTTTCGCAGTGTTTTTTCTGCGATCTCTTCCGGCAGCTTGAAGTAGAGGCTACCGTTTTCACCTGAATAGAATGCCCAGTCATTGTCCTTCGGGACATCTGTTAAAATTGGAACGATACAGAGAAGATTAGCATGGCCCCTGCGCAAGGATGACAAGCATAAATCGAGAAATGGTCCAAATTAAAAAAGAAAAAAAGAAGAAAAAAAAAAGAAAAAAAAAGAATGCCCAGTCATTTATAGCTGTGTATTGCATTTGGGGCGACGTTCAGTCGACATAGAAAAAGCTAATGAAAAAAAAGTGCTTATGTTTTGCTAAGGGAGTGCGTGGCACTGCGTGCCCTTCTGGCCTTCTGTACTGCCCCCCATCATACCAACTGTGGATTCGTTCCAACCAACTGAAAAACGGTGGGCATCCTCCGCCTTGTAAAGAGGGTGGGGTTGTGAAAGGCGGTTTTGGTTCAAGGATGGCACAGACGGAGAGGCATGTCAACCCTGTATGGTGGTGGTCCCGGTTAACCACTTGCGGTGATTTGCAGACTGTGCAGTCAATTTGGCGCTGTTCGCCGAATTTGGCTTATTTGCATCTGGATGTAAATCGTTGAAACCGCCAGTACACGGCCCCAGCCTTGCTGAAAATGCAACTCATCACCTACGAAAATTTTGGAGGCTCGGGCTACCGGACCACAATGGCTGGCGGCGCCAGCCAAAAAAGAAAAAAAGCTTGAGCTTGGCACGCAGTATAAGGCGCCTCCAGGCTCGGGTGTAATGGTCGGTGAACAAGTGGAAAAGTGGTCTGGGGAGGTATGTGTGTGTGTTTGTTGAGAGAGAGAGAGAGAGAGAGAGAGAGAGAGAGAGAGAGAGAGAG